AGGCTGCATATGCAATCTACACTGTTGGTGATCTGACCAATTCATCCTTCTGGCCTGTGGAGTGTTCTGCATGGACTGTCATTTTGCAAATCACAAGTTTCTATTTTGCAAATTACAGATTTTTTTTGCAAATCATTACTAGATTTCCATTTTGCAATTGTTGCCAACTGCCCGTTAGCCAGCGGATTCTATCGTTGATACCAGTGTTTACTACACTGAAGGGGCTATCCTGTATAAATATAGATGTCTATTTCTATTTCTAGTATTTTCTCTGAAAACATAGTAGAAACTTTTAGTCTTCAGAGTTTGCTTCTTTACAATCAAGTTCTCCTATTCTTTCTTCAAACTGTAAAAAACTGCCTTTTCTTCTGATCTCAGTGTGTTTGTGACTTTTAGTTAACACTTTGATTTATCAGGTATAATTCTCAATATCATCCTGACTTGGCCAGAAAACCCAGAAGTCATCATGGTTATGACCCATCTTAAAATGAATCGCCAGGTTTAACAGTAAGCTGGACCGAACCAAGGGTTACTGGAGTCAACAAGGGCAGTGATTTTGTTTCCCAAAGAGAGAAGATTAACAAGAGGGAGATGGCAATTGAAAGGCAGTGCTCTGGCCAAGAATGCCATCTGTGACAACAAATTTGACTTAAGATGGCCAACTGTGACAACTGAGCTTGCAGATGAGGATCAATTGTTATAACTTAACTTGAAAGGACGAACTGGTGTTAGAGAGTCAGTAGAGGATTGTTGACTATCATAAACAAATTGATTGTTGTGCAGGCACAATGGTACAAGGAATGTCATAAAAGGACTTAAATTGACCTAAAATGAGTTAAAATGACGTGAGTGATGTCTTGAATGACCTAAAATGAGTTAAAATGACGTGAGTGATGTCTTGAATGACCTAAAATGAGAATAAAGGTAAAGAAAGACCAGCACAGAATCTCCATGTGGCTTTTGTGGTTGACTGTGTGGTATTATCACCTTCAAAATAATTGTATTTTTGCTCTCACAAGCATGTCATAGGAGATTTTCCCTTTCTTTTTGTAAGAGATGATTGGAAGATTTATTAAACTGTTTTCAGCAAGGGCTCATTTTCTATATGAGTGGATTGGGAGTTAGTGAAAGGCATTTCTTAGTTAAGCCATCATTCTGTTTGCCCTCATGTATTTGGTCAATAATCTCGTTAGCCCTTTCCTACATGAATTTTACCATTGATGCTTAATTTAGAGGTCTGCATTAAACTTTGTCAAGTGGAACATTGGCCTCTGCTATTTTCTCTGCCCTATTCATGATGAATGTTGTTGTTCCATTGAGTTTCTTTTTTGAAGTCATTTACATGTCATTGAATAAGAATAGCATCTATTGTGTTATGCTTCATTCTTCAAAGCCTCCCGGCACATGTAAATGATGTGGACGGGTATTCTGAAGTTGCTCCTAAAGCAGACTTGTTTTTCACGCTTTTAGAGCCATGACCTAGCCTGCAGTGCCGGCGTATTTTGGGCGCACGAGTGCACATTTTTTTAGGCCGCCATCTTAGATTTGGATTTAGATTTAGACTTCCTCGGCAAATATTTCCTCGCCCCAATCCCCTCCACAGCTACCAAATCTAAGATGGCGGCCTGATACGAAAATGTACACTCGTGCGCCCAAAACACACAGGCACTGCAGGCTAGCCATGACCTTGTTGTGTTACAAATATTTTTTTGGCCTACATACAGTAAGAGTTGTGTTACAACATTTTCCAAGTAGCTCTGAAGGGCAGTAGAAGGCTGAAGCAGTGGCATCCTGTTTGATATGAAATGGATGTGGTTCTTTATTTTGTCAGTGAAAGGTGTATTGGACGCACATTTGTCTTGCAAAAAATCTCGCAAGAGATGACTTGAGTTTACATTTGTGTTACAAGACATAGTGTGACTTGGCTGTGAGGAGGTTATAAAAAATTAATAGCTGCACCAATCAAGACCTCACTGCTCAGCGTAACTTGGAACACAACCAATCAAATCTGTGTTGCTGAAAAAAAACTAGGCTCTACACACCAAGCAAAACTGCACAGTAATTACCAGGAATTTAACTCCTCAGGGATTTCAGCTACTATTGTGGATCTTTTTACCTAGACTTCAACATCATTTTTGGTTATTTTAGACCTCGGTCAAGGTTATTTTCATTTCTGGCAATCTTAGACATCAAAGTTACTGTAGGTGTTCATTTTTTCATTCTAGGTGATTGTGCACATCACTCAAGGTTAATTTGGATCGTTCCTTGTTTTAGTAACTACGAGGCCCAATATGCCCACAAGAACTGCACATGGAATCATTGCACTTAGAAAACTAGGCTCTTCACACCAAGCAAAACCCTACAGTAATTACCAGGAATTTAACTCCTTAGGAATTTCAGCTACTATTGTGGAACTTTTTAGCTTGAAGTAAACATCATTTTACATACATAGGTTAGTTGACCACTCCCCATGGGGCCTTTCAGGGCCATTCTTACAACACTTGTGTGGGGGACTTACCAGACAGCTTGTAGCAGTTTACAATGAATAAAGGCAAATCTAACAGATGCCCCCAATTTCCAGCAGGCCAGACCACATCACAGTAATCTTGTGAGTGGGTTCTTTAGCATCCCCTGCCTAATCAAATTCACTAATGAATAGATGCAAGAGAACAGGACCTATGGTTTATTCGTCCTTATCCGAGAAGACTAGAATGTCTATCCATTTCTTGATATTGTAGAAGGTAGCAGATTCTCCTCAGTTATTTTAAGACCTTGAGTGTTGGTCTGGTCGGGGCTGAAGCCTTCAGCCTCCTGCACCGCAGTCTGGTGCTTTAACCAGGAGGTGGTTGTTTTGGTTATTTTAGACCTCAGTCAAGGTTATTTTCATTTCTGGCCATCTTAGATGTCAGTCAAAGTTGTTGTAAGTGTTTATTTTTTCATTCTAGGTGATTGTGCACATCACTCAAGGTCATTTTAGGTCATTCCTTATTTTAGTAACTACGAGGCCTAATATGCCCACAAGAACTGGTCATGGGATCATAGCACTTTGAAACCTCACAATAATACTAAAAAACAGTGGAAGTCAAAGGGAAGGGAGCTGACAGTGACACAGCAAGCAACAAATAGTATTTCATTAGGCCTCTGTAATTTGCAAATTAAAATGAAAATAAAATCTAATTTTCAAAATAGATTCTGTAATTCGCAATGTGAAAATCGGGAAATAGAAATCTGTAAAGGTTTTTAGCATGCAGTTCAAATAATAAGCATACAAGAAAATCAAAGAGCTTGGGTTAGTTACATTTTCCAAGCAAACATGATATTTTATCTAGAAACAGGCTGAGACATTAATTCTCCATATGTATTTTGAGTCAGGTAAGCACTATGTCGCACATTCAAATTATTCATCAACACTGAGCATTCATTGATTACACCTTGTATACAGTACAGGACGCATTTATTCTTGAATGTAGTGGAGATTTTGCAAAATACAACACGCAGATTTTTTTTAATTTCTCACTTGCACTGGTTGTTATTATTATTTGGCNAGATGGTTTATTTCACATATTACAGATTTCTATTTTGCAAATCATTAAATGACCTTTTCACAGATAACAGATTTCTATTTTGCAAACCATTGACAGATTATCATTTTGTAAAATACAGATTTCTATTTTGCAAATTACAGATTTTATACTTTGCTTAGTTTTGTTTTACAAATTACAGTAAGCCTTTAGTTGCATATGAAATGTTCCAAATTTTTGTAAGATTGTCATCACATTTTATCACAGTCTTTGCTTTCTGTCATGTTTTTTGGCCTAAAACTATAGACAGAAGAAGGTACAAAGATACTCATTAGCTTGGTGACTTCAAAAAAGGAGCAGTTTATTGTTTCAGTAAATGAATGTATCATAGTGAAGAAAGACAAGTGGTGGGAGCAGAAAGGGTCTACTCTCTTCAATCCAGCTTTTGGTTGAAAATGGTTAAATTATGTAAGTTAACTAACAGTCCAAGTCACAGCTTTCAGAGGGTTGAAGTGATAATGGAGACCCCTAAATCTAACACCCAAGACTGAAAACTAAAAACGAAGGCCTGAAAACTAAGACTGAAAGACTCCTTTATCTTCTTTATTAAACCTAATCTTGTTTTGGCTTCTTGCCATCCAGCTCCAGTTTAAATCCTTTTGAAAGCAATAAAGCATGCAATATAATTAAACATCAGTCACCTTGTCCTAGTTTCCCCTGATGAACTGAAAGTCCTTAAACTTGAATCACACATTCCACAAAAAAGCACTCAAGTTAATTTTAATTGGGGAAATTTAAAGAAATAGATATAGGACTTCGGAAAGCAAATAATCATCTTGATCCAAGATTGTCCTTGGCCCTTCAAAACTTAGGGTGGATGGGAGTTAGTTGATGTAATGGATCATCAGGTTAGTCTTGGGTAGATGGGGATCAACAAGATAACACAAGGCTAAATTGGGAATAAAGAAGGTTAAAATGGTAGAACGAGGTTAAGGTAAAGTAGATGTGAGTTTATGTAGAATAAGGTTAACTCTGTCAGATGCATACATGAATCTTATAATACTAAGTATTGTGGGACATGTTATGTATGAAGTATATTTTCATTAGATAAAAAATATTTTCATTTAACCAAGTCAGGGGGTAGGCTTGAAGGCAACTTACTCATTTCAACCGACCAACCCCTAGCCCCAATCAAGCCTTAGCCTTCCATGTGATTTGAAAATATTTGCTTTTGAATGAAAATCTTTTTTATTGAATGGAATTGTTTTTTATTGAATGAGATGAGCCACCCAGTGGAATGTCCATTGCTAAATTATTTATTATTATTTTATTTATTATTAAAATGTTTCTTATTGAATTAACGTATTTTTATTGGGTGAAAATGTTTATTATTGGATGAAAATCTTTTTTATGGAAAAAAATTTATTTTTACTAAATTTTACAGCGTTTCGGCAAACATAGCATTATTGACTAAACTTGAATGTTTTACCCCTTGAAGTGCTATCCAGTCCCTCGCGGTGTAGCTCTTTTTGATTTGGAAAGATAAAATGCGCTTACATGATGCACATGCGTTGCCTACTTGTAGGCTGCTTTGCTTCTACTTTCTTGTTGTTTCTCCGTTGTTTTCCCCGTTTTGTCTAAGGTAAGTCCATGTTACATACTCAGTAAACGCTACTTGCAGATCTTAGTCATTGGTGAAAACTTTTACATCTTGTATATGCCCTCCCGTTACTGTACATCTTTGATAATTATTTATTCAAGCTTGTAGTAAGGGCTATACGCCGATAAATTAGGCATAGAAATTCCTAGTGAGGTTAATTGAACGAGAAAGACCTGCTATCCGGTACAAGGTTTATAGAGAAAGCCTTTTAGTTTTCCATAAACACTATTCGTTATATTTTGATAATGTTGAGGCTAATCTACTTAAATATATTTCATTCAGCTCACAGCAGCATGAGTGGTGATCCCTCTCACCCTCGCCCTCATATGTACTATCCACCTGCCGTACACCATCCACCCCCACCCATTGGACAACAGCCACCCCCTGCCCCTGGACAAGGCTACCTACAGGTAAGTGCAGTACAGTGAGGACTTTGCAGCCTATAAGTGGATTTTAGCAATAGTTTTATTAAAGACAAAATATTTTGATAAAAACTGTAAATCCTAGATATGAATTGATGCAAACTTTAAAACTGATAACCCCAATTTTCCCCTTCAGACAGGTAGAAATTCTCAGTTTTGGCAGATAGCCTGACTGTCAATAACTACTGAGATTAAATTTCTTTCCTTTCTCATATTTTTTTAAAATTTTTTTTTGTGGAAATAAGCCATGTAGCTACAAAAAAAGGCATAGTCAGATTATATCTCTCATTCAGTGTATTTTTTCTCGCCATTGCTATGCATGCTGTGATTTTTCGGTTTATTTGCTCAGCCTGTTATCATTTTGAGGTGTTGTTGTTACCCAAAATCTTACTGGTTACTGCAAATTATTCTTGACTTAAGAGGGCAGGTGAAGTTGAAATAAATTATTGCAAAATCTTTAAATTATGCATCAAAGCATGCCTGCTACTGAGTGTTTTCAGTTAAACTTATTTCGTGTGCTTTGAGGAAGAGTCATTTGAAGCCATTCCACTTGGTCAGAAGTTATCTGAACAATCCAAACACAAAGTAGTGAGCTAATTTAACGAAATTCATCCTTAAACATGATCTGCGTTACAGCCGTAAAGCTGAGCTCAGTTGCTATCTTGCTAATATCGATTGGCGTTTATTTTTTGGCGGACTCAAGAACTGTGAAGAATACCTCCAGGTATTCCAATCTGTTGTTTGTACTGGTTTGGACCTTCTAATGCCCCTAAAAAGAGTTCGAATCAACACCACCGATGCCCCTTGGATGATGAATGAACTGAAGTCACTAATTTCTAAAAGACAAAGAGCCTTTCACGATCACCGACCTAAGTCAATCTTGTTTAAGACCTACAAAAATGCCGTAAACCGAAAGTGCAAAGCGATCTTCTATGAATCCAAAGTCAATGGAATGAAAGAAAAGGACCCTAAAGCTTGGTGGAAAGAAGTAAAAAGGCTTAGCGGAGCACTAAAATCATCAAGTAACCTGATTCCTCTTCTGGACATTGAAGAGTTAGAAGGTTTTTCCATGTGCGAGACGGCCAACTGTGTAAACCAAGCGTTTTTAGAGCCCCTGGAAGAGTATCGTTTACCAGGAAAGATTCCGAAACTTCCTCTCAAAGACCAGAACCCACAATTCCTAGTTACTACGGAGTATGGTGTCTTTAGGTGTCTTTTAAACATTAATGCAGCGAAAGCAGGTGGACCTGATGGCATTCTGAATTGGATCTCTAGCCCACCGTGTCAACCATCCTAAATGTCTCCTTTAAAGAACAAAAATTACCGAGATCATGGAAATGTGCAGACGTCACTCCATTACCAAAAAATAAACCAATAAAGGACATTAAGAAAGATCTGAGACTAATTTCCCCAACTCTGAGTATTTCTAAAGTCACAGAGGACTTTATTGTCACCCAACATTTGAAAGCAGCCGTGTTGAGCCAATTGGATCCTGCCCAGTTTGGCACAATGCCAAAGTTCTCAACAACCTTTGCCTTATTAGAGATGCTCCACGAATGGTCTAAAGGGACTGACGGGACTGATGGGACTGGCTCAACAGCAAGGGTACTTATGTTCCATTATAAGAAGGCATTTGACTTGATTGACCATGGTATACTCGTCAATAAGTTATGCCAACTCGACATAGTGCCTAGCATCACCAACTAGATAATTGATTTCCTGTCAGACCGTTATCAGAGAAGTAAGATGTCTGATGGGTGCGTATCGGAGTGGGGCTCTGTTCCATCTGATGTCCCGCAAGGTACCAAATTAGGTCCCTGGTTTTTCTTGACTATGATAGACGATTTAGCTGTCACCAATGCCTCCCTATGGAAATTTGTCGATGATACGATGGCCTCAGAAGTTGTGAAGAAAGGTCACCCCAGTGGAGCTCAAAATAACCAAGTAATAGAGTGGTCAAAGAAAAACAGACTTGTACTAAACACAGACAAATGCAAAGAGCTGCATGCGAATTGGTTTCTCTTCAATTCCAAGGGATTTTGATCCAGTTTCAGTAGATGGTAAACACATGAAATTGGTTAAACAAGCCAAACTCTTGGGTGTTACCATTTCCAAAGACTTGAAATGGAATGCTCACATAACTGAGATTACCAAGAATTAGCAGCAAAGAGAACCTATTTCCTTGTTCAGCTAAAAAGAGCTCATGTTCCACCAAAAGACTTTTGCCTCTTTTACACAGCATGTGTACGATCCATAATCGATTATGCAGCCCAAGTTTTTCATTACTCTCTTCCTGAATACCTCCACCAAGAACTAGAATGTATTCAGGAAAGATCTATGAGAATCATTTGTCCTGGTATGCAATACGAACAGGCCTTAGCTATTATGAATCTTCCAACAGTGCAAGACCACCATGAAAATATGTGTACAGCAACATTTTTGCGATATAAATAGAGATTACTCCATGGAAAATGCACGCATATGATTTTTATTCATGAGTTGAGGAGTATCAGAAAACGAATGAGTGGGCGTAGCAAACGAGTGAGTTTTCTGATACTCCTCAACGAGTGAATAAAATTGTACAAAGCATTTTCCATGGTGTAATTTGTTTATTTTATAGTTATTGAGATTTTTGAAAAGAAAAATTTCTGGTAAATTTTATCAGTTTGGGCATGCATGTTTAGAAAACCCATTCAATTGCTATTATAAACTAAAATATAAAGTTCTCTGTCTTTTGAAATGTTTAGTGAAGATAACAAATCCAAATGTGTAGATGTAAATGACAACTTTTAGAGA